AAATTTTGGAATGGTTATTCTTTAAACAAACAAAACAAAACAAAAAACCCGCCTCAGAGGTATACTGCTGTTAACCAAGATTACAGAGACTGGTTATAAATCTGAGTGTCAGTGTAATCTGTGTCGTTCTGTTGCATTGTGGGTTTTGGATTTGAACTGAGAATGTCTGTTTTCTGAAAGCACTAGTTGTTTTTTTTTTTTTTTTAAGATTTATTTATTTATTTGACAGGCAGAGATCACAAGTAGGCAGAGGGGCAGCCAGAGAGAGAGGAAGGGAAGCAGGCTCCCCGCTGAGCAGAGAGCCCGATGCGGGGCTCGATCCCAGGACCCTGGGATCAAGCCCTGCTTTGGGCTCCCCACTCAGTGGGGAGCCTGCTTCTCCCTCTCCCACTCTCCTGCTTGTGTTCCCTCTCTCGTTCTGTCAAAAAAAAAAAAAAAAAAAAAAAAAAAAAAAAAAAAGAACACTTACAGCTCTCCTCCACTCAGACTTTTTCCCAGTCAGTACATACCCCAAAGAGATAATCACAGTTTGACTTTTATCACTATAGTGTCTTTGTTTTTGTTTTTAGTTTCATAGTAAAAGTTCTTCTTAAAAACGTTTCTTTTTCTGCTTGTAAATAGTACCAGGGTAGCATCCCTAACCTATTAGGGATGCTATAATCAGAGATTGCTTGAAAGGCATGGAAGTGAACAAGGCTTAATTGTATGATAGATGATTAATAACCAAATTCTAGTGTAGTCTTATGCAGCCTTCCTCATGGACAGAATATACTTTACCTGGGACTAGAGTACAACCTTCTTTTTCATTTGAATTTTTTTAATCATAAGGAGAATCTAGATTAATCAAGTAATATAATGAATGTTCATGTACCTGCAGACTGTTGAATAATATTAATCTGTCATATTTGTGTCAGATTTTAAAAAATAATTTTTTGCTTTGATACAATTTCAGATTTAGTAGAAGTTACAGAAATAACGTAAGGAATTTACCAGTCATTACCCTTCACCAGTTGTTTACATTTTGTTTCATATGCTTTATAATTCCCCATTTTTTTTCTGAACCCTTTGAGAGTAAGTTGAAGGAACTGTGCCCCTGCAGAATTCCTTTGAATACCTAAGAATAAGGTAGGGATATTCTCTTACATAACCATGGAGAAATCCTTTATGGATTTTTAGAGTTCAATTTTAACGATAATCTTATATCTAAGCTCTTGGATACACCTCACAGTTGGCAAGATATTTCATGTACCGCCTCCGGTTCCTCTATCAACGAAGTTTTAGTATGTTTTTAAGCTTAATTAAATGCAAATGTAGTTTATTTTGCTTTTGGTCAAGACGTTTTGAAATTTGAAAACTAAAATGCATCTTGCTAACTTTGGCTTGTATATCATTAGGTTGTTGTCACCAGATTTATTATACTATAGTATCTTAACATAATTTTTGAACTAAGAAGTACTAATTATAATTAGACTTTAGTCTGTCAATGTTCTTTGTAAACTAACACTATGAAGTGTCAAGATGATACATAAACTCAGCAGAGCATTTTTAGTTGTCCCTTATCACTGCCTCCTACAGAGGTGACATGCTTGTCCAAGCCACATGTATTCTTCTTCCTGTTTTCCCGATAATAGTATAAGTTTTTAGGTCAGTCGATGTGTGAATAAAGGCATTTGTATTGTGTTTACTCTCTATGGAAGTGAGTAAATTTGCTTGTGAAGATTAAACTCAGTACACTAAAGGTCTTAGTACACATCTCACCAAATGAACCACTATCCATGCTGGAGTATCTAAAGAAGGTAGTGGTTTTCCTTGTGCCCTGTTTAGATATTCTGAAGCCCAGTTTTTCTCTTGTACATGTAATTTCAGAAGTTCTTTCTGGTTTTATTTGCATTTTCATGTAAAATTTATAATGTCTCTTTTCCTTAGTATCTGAGTTTTAGTACTTTATTTGTAGAATTTGAAAAGATCTTACCATTGTTTTAGGGGAAAACTGCATTCAAGTGATCATGTCACATTATGGTAAAGGGTCCATTCTAGCATGGTGTTTTAGAATCTAGAAATATACCGGCCCTTTGACCTTGGGCAAATTACTTAGTCCTTGGGCAGATTACTTAATCCTTCGGAGACTTGCTGTCCTCACTGAAGTGGGGATAAATAGTACCTACCTCAACAACAACCCTATGAAGATTGAATAAGATAATGTATGAAAAGTACATAGCTCAGTGATAGGCACAGGTCAGTAAATACTACCTTTTAAGTAGAAGATAATGGTACTTATTCAGACTTTGGTTTTGTTTAACAAAATAATACTTAAATATTCTTTAGACTAGTTTTACTAAGCCTATAAAGGTCTATAATATAAAACAGAGCTCCATATGTAGTGTTTAACTGTAGCTTTTTTGTGAACAGAGTAATGGATCTATAATGGAAGACTTTTTAGTAGCTTTTTTTGTATATTGGTTTGTTATCCAGTAATCTCATGAAATTGGGCAAGACAGATAATTATATTTCTTTTGAGAGCTCAAGAAACAGATACCTGGAGTGTGTGTGATGTAACTAAGTTATAGATACATAACAGGGTATTAGTGGGAATAGCTAACATGTATGTGATTACTAAATGCTAGGTACACTTCTGGTTGCTTCTGTGTCTTAGATCACTTAATAACACTGTAGGATATTTTTGCTGTCAAACATGTTAATGAAAAGAGACCTGCTCAAGATGATAAAACTAATAAATGCCTGAATTAGGTTTTGAGGCAAGGTCTGTTGGACTCTAAAGCTGTGAATGAATGCCTAAAAGAGAACACTCTTCAGGGTGCTCGTGTATGTTTTTAATTCTTAAATACCGGTATTCCCTTGAAGCCTTTGTTTAAAAGAGCAGACACTGAAGTGACAGTGCATAGTAAAAAGGGAAACCCTATTCCTCCACTCTGCCACAGGCTGTGGGGAGTAGAATAAAGGAATGAAAGCAGGAGATGTGGTCTTAAATACTGACTTTTGCAAAAGAATTTGCCTTTCTTATTAGGTTTACTCTCTGGTTGAATAATCTTTTATCTTCCCTTACCCTTATTTTGGGGAAAAGTTTAGAGGCTGGAGACAAAATCAGCTATCTGTTCTGCAATCCCTTAGATAGGTTTGCATTCTTCCTATTCTGTAGTCTATAATTGTAATTTGGAAGGATTAGATTTAAGAAGAATAAAAGATTCCTTAACTTCTGTGGTTCTATCAAGGTACCCTAACCCCATAATTTTATATATACATATACTTCTGTGCGTGTGTGTGTGTGTGTGTGTGTGTATTTTATGTATAAAAAATACATATATTTAACTCTGTATTCGGTTATGCTTGGGAACTTTTAGGTACTTACAGTCTCATTAGTATACTGAACACATAGACTGATTGTCTTATCCGGTCAGCTTTTTGCTTCCTTGCCCTTATATTTGTTTTATTGTGCTGGTGCCCATAACAACACAAACTTACAGCCCAGTAATGCAGGGCAAATAGACTTCTTTCCTTCCCTGGAGGCTTTTCCTGTACTAGTTGCCAGTTGGGAGGGTGGTGAGCCTTCGAGTTTAATGGAAAACCTGATTTCCTGACTTTCTCTTCTTTAGATTGTCTTAGTGCTGAAATAGGCTTCAAGAAGTGAGTAGAAAGCAGTGCCCAGCTTGAAGTTATTTTAAAAATATTGAGCTGTAGAGTGAATGGATTTTTTCCTTTATTTATTCATTAAAAAAAAAAGAATTTATTTATTTATTTGACAGCGAGTGAGAGAGATCACAAGTAGGCAGAGAGGCAGGCAGAGAGAGAGAGGGGGAAGCAGGCTCCCTGCTGAGTAGAGAGCCCAAAGTGGGGCTTGATCCCAGGACCCTGAGATCATAACTGGAGCCAAAGGCAGAGGCTCAACCCACTGAGCCACCCAGATGCCCCCGATTTTTTCCTTTGTTAACATCTCAGAAGGTGTTGACGGGTTTAATATTTTAATATTAAATTAAATTTAATATATTATTTAATAATAATCTGTAGTAGAACATTATTTAGTGACACCCAGTTTTCAATTTATTTATTTATTTATTTTTAAAAATTTATTATTTATTTGACAGACAGAGATCACAAGCAGGCAGAGAGGTAGGCAGAGAGAGAGGAGGAAGCAGGCTCTTTGCCGAGCAGAGAGCCCGATGCAGAGAGCCCGATGTGGGGCTCGATCCCAGGACCCTGAGATCATGACCTGAGCCGAAGGCAGCGGCTTAACCCACTGAGCCACCCAGGCGCCCCCCAGTTTTCGATTTAATAGTCATTTATTTGCCTTGGCAAATTCTCTCTATTTTCCTGTATTCCCCCAACATGCTTTTCTTTCTTTTTTCTTTTTTTTAAAGATTGTATTTATTTATTTGTCAGAGAGCGCGCGCGTGCACAAGCAGGGGGAAGAGCCGGCAGAGCAGGCAGAGAGAGAAGCAGGCTCCCCGCTGAGCAAAGAGCCTGATTTGGAACTCCATCCCAGGACGCTGGGATCGTGACCTGAGCCGAAGGCTTAACCGCTTAACCACTTAACCAACTAAGCCACCCACGTGTCCCAAAACTTGCTTTTCTTTATAGTTTTCCAAGTTAATTTCTTTTATTTTATCAAATTTTTATAAAAATTCATATCCTGGATGAGCTCCCCCCACCCAATTTTTTTTTCTTAAATTAAGATGTTTATTTTATTTTAGTAACCTCTACACCCAACGTGGGGCTTGAACTTAAAACCCCAAGATCAGGAGGCACATGCTCCACTGGAAGAGCCAGCCAAGGCACCCCCAAGTTAATTTCTTTGAATAGAATATAAAATTGTAATATTGAAAAAATATGGCCCCCCCCCCTCATCCTTTCCATTTGAGTTTTAAGATGCTTATGTTTTTTATATTATTACCTTGGTTAAAAGACTTTCTGGGGAATTTGATGTGATGTTTGGATTTTAAAGGCTTGTATTTTACCCCTTTTCCAGAACCTTATATCAAGTACTCAACTTCTGCAGCTGACAAAAGTAAGATACTTACTGATAATGGATCTTTGTTATCTTTCTTGTCATTAATTACTAGTGTTTTAGCTTTACTGTATTTTGTCTTCATTTGAATCTGGAAGTTATAATACCCTTATTAGCAGGGTGAATCTCTTTTCTCAGGAGAATGCTGACATTTACATGGCTATAAAACTTAGTTGTTTGAGTGCCTACTGAGCATCAAGACATTCTTTTCTGGAGATGCCTTTCTTTACCACACACTGTTTACCTTTGATCTATCACAGCAGTCTTGGGGCTCAGAAGCAACTTGTTTGTTGTGCTTGTGTGCTTTTTTCTTTCATAAAACTTTGAAGGTTTGTTTTTATAAAATACTAGTTTTTAGAATGTAAAATTTGGCGAATAATAGCACTCCATATAATTTTTGGGTCTCAATGAAGTAAACATCAAATTGCATTTCATAAATGTGTTTAAAGGATCTAAATCTGTGAATGATGGAATAAACTTCCCAAAGCTTGTTCTTCTAGTTGATGATGTTCAGATTTCTGAAATCTGAGTCTGATTTGGAACCATATGTGCACTTCTGTCATACTTAAAGGAAAAAAGATTTGTATTGATTTGTGAGCCCAGAGTTAAATTTTCTTGGTCATTGGAGTGATGGGTGTTTAAAAACTTTTTTCCCTTTTTTTCCCCATTCTTTGCTTAGGACTGGCCATATAATTTGCAGGGCTCCTTTTTAACCAACTGAGCCACCCAGGCATCCCAACAGGGCTCCTTTTTAAAAAAAAAAAATTAAGAATTTCAGAATGATTATAGCAGAACAATAAACCAAGCATGGAGTCATGTGACTGTACAGGTTGTGCACTCATGAAGCTGGCCTTGTCATTTCTTCAACAGATAATTTTATTTTTAAAAAAGATTTATTTCTGAGAGAGAGTGGGCGAGTGGTTGGAGGGGCAGAGGGAGAGAATCTTCAAGCAGATTCCCTGCTGAGGGTGGACCCCCACCCCTGCAGTGGGGTCTCAGTCTCACTACCCATGAGATCATGACCTGAGCCAGAACCAAGAAGAGTTGGATGTTTAACTGATTGAGCCACTCAGGCACCCTGTTCAATAGATAATTTAGAAAAATTGTGTACATTTTCTAATTTTGACATATAAGTGTATATTTTACTGTTTTTATTTGAAGAAAATATGTCCATGTTAGGATTTAAAATCTTACACTTTTATGCTAGTTTTATTTTCTAACTTAAGATCTGGTTAAGGAGTGTCACAGTACAAATTGTTCTTATTATAGGTTTAAATAAAATAACACAAAACTTGGATCTTAAAAATGGGAAGGGGACTGTATTGGAGGTGATTGTTTTGTTTTATTCAGACATCGAGGTCTTGTAGAGATCAACTTTTGAAATTGATGATCCTGCGTTGGGACTTGAGGTCATGTGCTTACCTCACTCTTGAAATAACTTTATAAACCTTTCAGGCTTGCTAATTAAGGTTAGCTAAAACTACTTTCAGCAAAAGCCCTTTGCTTGTTTTCCCAGTGAGTAAATCAAGCATTAATTTCTGAAGATAAAATTTTTTTTTTTTTGATAGGAAGTAGTATTTATTGGTGGGCATGAATAGGGAGGGGGCAGTGCCAAGGTTCTTATGAGTGCAGAGCCCTTCATTTGGCCACCGTTAGGAAAGTATTTGACCCCACAGCTATCTGGGATGAGCCGCTCTTCAGCTACCATGTCTTCAACTTCATCTGCATTAAACTTAGTAAAAGCCCCACTTCTTGGAGATGTGCATCTTCTGGATCTTGAACTTGGCCCTGTCTAGGGCCTCAGTCACATGCTCCTTGTTCTGCAACTTATTATGGATGGACATAATGACTTGGCCAGTGTGGACCCTGGCTCCTGTGCCCTAGGGCTTTCCAAAGGCACCCCGCAAGCTGGTCTACAGCCTAGCTTGGAGATAGCATGAGGTCACACCTCAGTGTCCACTGGAAAGGGCTGTGTTCAAGGTCCCTTGGGGCAACTCATGCAATCAGCTGGCTCCATATGCCACTAAGGAAGCTACTCTTTGCAGCATGGCATGCTGGTCCCCCATGGAGAAAGAAAAGAGTATAGTTGGCTTGAAGATAAATTTTTTAATGAAATTGTTTAAAGTTTTCTGGGTAGACATTATTCTGAAATGACTTCTTGTGTATGGAGAGATTATTTGTGTATTTTATATAAAAGAGTAGCAGTTGATGTAGACTATTGGATAACAGCTTTAACTAGTAGTAATAAGAATATTACTGTACTTTTTTAACCAGTAAGAAGTTTTATAGGAGCTGAAACTAGTACCCCCCCCCTTTTTTTTCCAAGTAGGAAATTAGAATGCTATCAAAGGTCCAACATTTTTTCCCCCCTCTTCTTCCTCCTCACCATCAGGTTAGCAGGTGGTTAAATAACCATTTCTCTGACAGAAGGTGCTGGGTGATTAACAAAAGCCATCATATAACACATTCCCTTGATCATGTCATGAAGTTGATCTCCTTGGAGGCTAATTAACTTCATGGAAATTTCTGTACCTTAGAAGAACTTTACCCAGAACACTGATCACATGTAAATGCTTGTCTTTTGTTTATATGGAAAACCACAAGTTCATATGCATTCCCTTAGAGATTTGAAACAGAGTTGGTGACCTATGTAGGGTAGTTCATATGATCTGCTTGTACAACTTTTTCTAAATACTATACTGACTACTTTTGGATGAGGGTTAGAGCCCCTGCATTAGGATATGATTTTAGGATTTTTAAAAAATTAAGATAGAATTTATATAGTGAAATGCAATCACTTCTCAGCCTTTTGGCTAAGGTCAAGTGTAGTGTATAGTGAAATGCACAGATAGAAGTATGCAGTTTGAGTTTCAGTAAATGTTTACAGCTATGTAGCCACTGCCACAATCCTGATATGTAACTTTATATTGGAACAGTCTCATGGCTTCTGGTTATTTCCCCTTCTCTTCCCACCCAAACTGTAGCTCCTACCTGAACTATGTTTTTGTCACTATAGATTAGTTTTATTTATTTATTTTAAAAGATTTTATTTATTTATTTGACAGAGATCAGAAGTAGGCAGAGAGAGGCAGGCAGAGAGAGAGGAAGGGAAGCAGGCTCTTCCTGATGTGGAGCTGGATCCTAGGACCCTGGAAATGACCCGAGCTGAAGGCAGAGGCTTTAACCCACTGAGCCACCCAGGTGCCCCACTATAGATTAGTTTTACGTATTTTTTCATTTAAATGAAATCATGTAGTATTTGCTTTTTTTTAAGTTGCTGCTTTGAGTCAGTCTGATGCTTTTGAGATTCATCCATGTTGTTCATTTTTATTGCTGAGTAGTATTTTATTGAGGAATTGCACCCATAATTTGTTTATTTGATCACTTGATACTGGACATTTTGAGTTCTTTTCAGTTTGGGCATGTTAGGAATAAAGTTGATCTGAACATTTGTTTCCAAGCCTTCTTGTGATCACATGTTTTCACTTCCCTTGGGTTAGTATCAAGGAGTGCAATTGCTGGGTCATAGAATACATGGATGTTTAACTGTATAAGTAGCTGCCAGACTGTCCTTCGAAGTGGTAATGCCAGATTTATACTTTGATGAGCAATGTATGAGTTCCAGTTACTCAACATCCTCAAATTTGTTTTTGTAAGTCTCTTTAATTTAGTTAGCCCATTGGGTGTGAAAGGGTATCTCACTGTAGTATTTTAATTTGCATTTCCCTGATGATTGATGGTGATCCACATCTTTTCATGTGCTTATTGGTCATCGATAATGTCTTTGGTAAGGGTTCCATTAAAATCTTTTGTCTATAAAAGTTTTCTTCTTCTTACTGATTTGTGTTTGCTTTTTATATATTTTGGACATAAATCCTTTATTAGATACATATATTTGCAAATATTTTTCCCACTCTGAATTTCATTTTCTTTCTTTTTTTTTTTTTTTAAAGATTTTATTTATTTATTTGACAGAGAGATCACAAGCAGGCAGAGAGGCAGGCAGAGAGAGAGGAGGAAGCAGGCTCCCCGCTGAGCAGAGAGCCTGACGTGGGGCTCGATCCCAGGACTCTGAGATCATGACCTGAGCCAAAGGCAGCGGCCCAACCCACTGAGCCACCCAGGCACCCCTGAATTTCATTTTCTTAAGGGTCTCTTTAATAAGCAGAGATTTTAACAATTTTTAAAATCTTTTATTGTGAGGAAAATACACATAACAAAATTTATCATTTAACCATTTTACTATTTTTTAAAATTTATTATAGCACGAGTGGGGAGGAGGGGCTGTGGGAGAGGGAGAAGCAGACTCCCTGCTGAGCAGGGAGCAGGACATGGGGCTCAATCCCAGGCAACTCTTGAGATCCTGACCTGAGCTGAAGGCAGATGCTTAACTGAGTCAACCAGGCACTCCCTATTTTAAAGAGTACAGTTCAGTTGCATCAAGTATATTCAGTGTTCTGTAACTGTCACTAGTATTTCCAGAACTTTGTCAAACAATCTGTACCCATTAAATAACCAGAAATTTTTTAAAAAAAGATTTATTTATTCATTTTAGATGGGGAGGGGCAGAGGTAGAGGGAGAGAGAGAATCTGAAACAGATTCCCTGCTGAGTGCAAAGCCCAATGTGGGGCCCTATCCCATAACCCATGGGATCACAACCAGAGCTGAAATCAAGAGTTAGACAGATGCTTAATGGGCTGAGCTACCCAGGCGCCCCTGAAGACTTTTTTTTTTTTTTTTTTTTTTAAAGATTTTATTTGACAGAGAGATCACAAGTAGGGAGAGAGAGAGAGAGGAGGAGGCAGGCTCCCTGCCTAGCAGAGAGCCCGATGTGGGACTTGATCCCAGAACCCTGAGATCAGGACCTGAGCTGAAGGCAGAGGCTTAACCCACTGAGCCACCCAGGCAGCCCCCTGAAGACATTTTTTTTTTTTTTAAATTTTATTTATTTGTCAGAGAGAGAGGGAGAGAGAGCGAGCACAGGCAGACAGAATGGCAG